TCGACAATTTTGTAACCAATGAACTCTAAATGAGAGGTTGGTTCACGTTGATGTTTCGATATTTATCCGTATAATGTTTTATGTTATATCTAGCATGGTATTGTAAACCTAGTATATTAATCAATTATTTTTTTTCAATTTGATAATTTAACAATAATGGAAAGAAAAAGCTCTCGAAAAAGGCAAATATTCTTTTTCAATATATACATTGTAAATAAGAGTTGATTTGACAAACTGTGGTTAATAGTTATGACTTATATTTGATATTGATTACTTATGATATGTTTTTAAAAAAATATAATTTCAATCTTTTAATTGAATTCTTTCAAAAGAAAATACAATAAAAAAAAAAAAAGTGAAAACATTCTTCTTTGAATTTGAACTGTTTCTAGGAAAATTTAATTTGCTTTGAAATAAATGAAACAATATTATAGAACTATTTTAAACATAAGTTAATAATTATTCGATTGTATCATTGTATATATCTCTTACGTGTTAGATTATATCGTTTATTGATTTCTTTTCTTTTTGTTGACACGTTTATTTTATTGTTTTTCTTCTCATTTCTTTAGCACTAGACAAGTAGTCACACATTAATTTACTGATAGATAATCACATTTTCTATATAAAAAGAAATTATAATAAATAGAAGAACTAAAATAAGTGATAAATCATTTGTAATTGTCAATAATAATCTCTAAAATATATTATTTTCAATGACGTCATTATTTTCATCGTTATCTTGTATAAAAAAATATATAATAGAAGGTTCATTTGTTCCTCTAGTTGCTTCATCTGATTCATTTATAATTATTTATGATGAAGATCCTCGACCTCTAATTCGTTTATTTAACAGTAATTGTTGTCAAGTAATGTGTCATTATGTTCCATCATATTTGGTTGATATGTGTTATTCATACGATCTTGATTCATTTATTTTTCTTACAACAACTTCTCTTTATAAATTAAATCCATCAATAGGAAAAATTGAATTTATAAATGATTATTATTTATTAAAAGAAAATCGTTCAATGTCATCAATTTGTTCAACAAATGATAAACGTTTATTTATTTTATATCGTTTTGGTGAATATTTAGATACATATCCAAAAGGAAAACGTATTTGGAAACGACGACATTTATGTGATTCAATATCAGAAGATATTGCTTTAATTCGATCATCAAAAGGTTAAATTAAATATTTTTATTTTTATTTTTCTCTTTTGTTTATTTTTCAATAATTCTTTGTTAGGTGATTCATTTCTGCTTGGTTTACTTATTGTTGAATGGAATGGTATATGGCGTGTTGATATTTTTTCATCATCATTACATAAACTTCATACAGGTTTTCGTTTTAATGGATGGACACGTAATACATGGCTTTCCGAATGGTCTCCTTATAAATGTTGGTTTATCGGAAGTACACATAGATTAATGATCGATTCAAAAGGACAACCAATTAATATTTCAATAGATCAATTTGATTCTGATATAAATAATATTAGTTGGATGATTAATACTAATAATAATCAAATCAGAATGACTATTACACGAGGACAAAAACTACTTACTTTTTTTAAATAAATTTTTTCTTTCTTTCATTAAAAACAAAATGAAAGAATTTATTTCAAACAGAAATATTAACTTTAACATTTTCTATTCAAATATTGATTAGTTTTCAAAATATGACAATTTTTTTTCTAGTATATTTCTTTTCTCATAAGTAAACTTAAAATATTCGATAGTCACACACACACACGCACACCTACAATACATTTCTCATTGGTTAAATATAAAAAATAATAGTTTATAATAAGATTTCAAATTGCACTCTGCTATTGGAATGTTTATGGAGGAAAAAATTAATCATGATATTTTCTATTTTGATTAACACCAAATAATTTTTCTCGAATTTCAGGAAGAATTTGATTAAATATCATTGAAAGTCGAGCTTCAATTGTATTTGATACTTTTATTTTTCCACCCATTGCATAAAGTTCAACACCACCAGCTCTAAAACAAGAAAAGATAAAATTTATTAAGGAAAAAAAACTAAAAGATAAATCCTAACGAATCATCAGATATAAAATTTTTCTCATCAATATTTATTTTAATATCTTTTTGTTTTAAGTCTTGTTTATATTTCTGAATTGCATCAGGAATAAGTTTTTGAACAAGTTGATGATCATTTCGACGACATCTAATAGTAACATCATTTTCCATAAGTAAAAAAAGACCTTGTGTTATAAGATTGAAAAGAATAGTTTGATATTTTGTTCGATCTTGTGTTAAAATAGTTAATTGTTTTCTTGCTTCTTCTTTTAAAGCTTGAATATAATCATCACGTGCTTTAAGAATTGAAAGACGACTTGCATTAGCTAAATTTGAATGTTGAATTTTTCGTTGTAATTCAATTTGTTTTTCTTTTTTATTATAATATTCAATTATTTTAACACGTTGTTGAGAAACTAAACGACTTTTTTCAATATTAAATTCTTCTTCAGCTTTTGCTTCGATTTCTTCAACTTTTTCAGCTGCTTCTTGTTGAATAAATGCAATCATATGTTGAATCTAATTTAGAAATATTCAGATTATTATTTTTTTTTTTTTTGTTAGAAATCGAATAACTAACTTGTTTGGCAACATCAGTTTCGCTTAAACCCATCTTTTATGAGTTTTTAATATTAGAATGTTGAAGCTAACTATACTAGAAAAATAGGTGTTGACGATGAAAAACACTTGACAGCAGGAAGAGGCTTCCAATTTGGTTTCGATTGGACTCTTTTTTTATTTTATCATGTTATTTATGTCATGTAGATGTCACCACATTATTGAGCAAATAAGACTGTTTATTATTTTACGTTTTTTCTATTGAAAGTGTAAAAATAATTGTAGAAGATCACTCTTATATTAGACAACTATCTTCGAGAAAATTTCAAAAAGCATATTGGAAAGCTATCTATTTACCAGAAGTCTTCGTTTTAAAACTCAACGATTCTTCCGATTATAATATTTTATAATTGAAATTTCCACTAATCTATTCGGTTTTATAATAGAAAATCTAGTTTTAAGCCTCTTTATTAGAAAAACAAACTATTGTTTAAACTAAAGCTGTACAAGTACGAGTACGTAGTTGGACTTATACTTGAGAAACTCCATATACGCCTAGCTTCGATTTGAATATTATAAAACCTTCTCAAAATCGTTGGGTTTTAGAGAGAAGTTCAAAAAAATAAAGTGATCCTCATAAGAAGGTCATCCCAAGATGACTACCCGAGACGTACACCGTCTGCATGGGGCTCATCCGCACCCTAATGGAAAGTATCAATCATAACGGGACGGCCACCATGCTCGACGAAAAGCTTTTTGAAGGGTTCAATGACATGAGCTTTACTTTATTTTTATGATGAACATTCCAATCAAGCAGATAATAACTAGTAAAGAATGGAACAAATCATTGATAATATCTAGGCTACAGCTAGAAATAAGCAACAATGTATTCCATTTGCTTTTTAAAGTTTTTCTTTTCAATATATTTCCCTTTGTTTTCATTGGTCCAACTTTATACAAGTCTATTTTATTATCATTTTTCTATGAAATAAGAAAATTCTGTTGTCCGACATACATACGTTTAGATTAATTGATTTTGTCTAGTCGACATTTGATAATTATTTCAGTTATGAGAAAGAAATTTTCACAGAATTTGTTTCAAAAAACAAAAGACTATTCATGTATATCATCACATCCAACATCTAACTTTCTTATTTTTTATTATTAACTATGTTTTGAAAACGAAAAAAAAAAGACAAAAACTTTGCAATCTACCATACTCAACTAAGAAAAAACTGCGTCACTACAAATACATCTTACACGTTCTTTCTGTTTGTTTGTTCAAATAACAGCACTACTTTATAAAGGAGAAAAAATTTAAAAAAAAAAAACTACTCCGCGGCGGGGAATCGAACCCCGGTTTCCCGCGTGACAGGCGGGGATACTAACCACTATACTACCGCGGACGTTCTACATCCAAACTACAAGGTTCCGCAATATAATCTTTGTCCATCAGTCACGAGAATATTTCGACATTCAAGCAAAACTATCAGTGAAGGATAAATATGATTATTCTTCTTTTCATAGTAGTAGTAAGCTAAGATCAATTGTTTGTCATTCATATGAACTAGACTTCATATATTTAGGAATTATGACACAACAATTATGTTAAGATTTGATTAATCAAATTTTTATGTTCTCTAACAATTATAAATATGTAAAAGAATAGAATGTATAACTTTTCTAGTTGAAATTTTCATGTTCAAAACTGAAAATAAATGTCTCACTCAAAAAATAATTGTTTAGTGAGTATACACATGATTGGCCTTTATTGAATTTATTTTGTTAGCTTGTATTGTATCGACGCTTAGAAATTCTTCTGTTCCGAGTTGACATTTGTGTTCCTTACAATGAATAGTAGGATCTTGATGAGAATTATCAGGATAATATGTTCTCTAAGGTTCATCTTTTCGATCTAAACAATTTGGGTTAAGTAAAATACGAATTTAAGCATACTAATTGAATGCTAAGACTTCACTTCTATGATGATTACTTTTATATAAATAATAGTAGTGGAAATTTGTCGAGAGAATTAATCAATGGCAGCAAGAAGTCAAGAAATATGCGCGACTTATTCGAAAGGAAATATTTGCATACATCAAGGAACACAATAGAAGAATTTCAGGTGATTTAGGAAAGATTGATTTGATATTTTTCTCTAGTTTCAATGAAAAAGAAGACTCATGGCTAATGTCATTTTTCAGATTCCATAGATGAGATCCTGGTTGCAAAAGGCAATTACTTGTACTCGTCAATGAATAAATATGAAATTTTCATATGGTTAAAATTCTGATCGGATTTTTGTATTGCTGAATTTATTTAAAATGAAAGTGAAAAATGAAATTAAGTTAAACAAAAAGTTAATCGAATGAATGAAGACGATAGTTGTATTAGAGGAAGAGGTCGATCTGTTGTTTCATCCACGTTCCTCCATCAACATACTGAAGGCACCGTTGATGATAAACATTAATCCATTTCAATTCTTCTGAAGAAAGAAGATTGACATCAATCAGTGGACGAGAATAAGGCAATAAAGTTAATGGAATGAAATGAATAAATCGTTGATCATCTTCAATAACCTCATAGACATTTTCCAGTCGAATTCCCCATTTTCCCTCGAAGTAAATGCCAGGTTCAATGGCGATTACCATTCCGGGTCGAATGGGAGTTGAAGTGGCAAGAGAAGGACTATCGCTAATGAAGATACCACCTTCAACCACTCCCATTCCATGTGATACTCCATGACCAAACGAAATATGTTCATTTGAATTGTTGATAGAAGCGAATTGCGCTCTCAATAATGAATGAATATAACATCCAGTAAGAGTATCATCGCATGGAAATCCAGTCATTTCAATGAAAAGAATTGCTTTTAATGCAAGAGTGTAACATTGAATTTGTTCTTGTGTTGCTTGTCCAAAATGAAGAGTACGTGTCATGTCGGTTGTTCCATCGAGATAATTTCCACCACCATCGAGATAAAACAAGTCACGAGCAATGAGCGTCTTTGTCTTTCTAGCGAAGGGCGAATATTCAATCAATGCTGTATTCGTGGCTGAAGCGGAGATTGTATCAAAGGCAATAGAAATGAAATCTACTTGTTCTCGCTGTCGACTCTCTAGATATTTAGCGACATCGAGTTCAGTAACATTCAATGCGTCATTCTCCATGCTTTTTTGAAGCCATTCAAAGGTTTGACATACGGCAGCACAATCACGAAAGTGACATTGACGAAATCCTTCGAGTTCCACAGAATTTTTAATCTCTTTCATCTGTTGAATTGGTGAACGAGAGATACGTACTACACCAGTAGATGAAAGATGATGAAGGACAATAACAGATGTGCGTTCATCAAGCCATACATCTTGATCTTTCAATGTCGAAAGAAAGGCAAAGAAACTTTCATAAGGACGTATTTCATATTGAAGATCCTACAAAAGAAAAGATTAATTTGTACGAAGTAATTATATGAAGACTAGCCTGATGAGGATTGTCCGTGAACAGCCAGAGTTGATTACATGAGACAATAGCGAAACTATAGAAGAGTGGATTACATTCCATATCATTAGCACGAAGGTTAAGAAGCCAAGCTATTTCATCCATAGCTGTAATTATCAATGTGTATTTCTTTTCTCCATCACTTAAATAGTTTCGTCTTAACTTTTCCACTTTTTCTATACTTGTTTGTCCAGCAAAACGAAATTCATCCAGTGGCCAAATGGGTGTTAATTTTGATGGTTCACTAGATGTTTCTTTTTTCGAAATGATATCGATCCAATTGTTTGATGAATGGATTGGATAAAGACTTGATGCTAAAGCAGAGAATTGTTCAATAATAAATAGAGGTGTCAAACGAGGGTCATAGGCAATTCTTTTTAATGACAATTGTTGATTGTTAATCCATTGAACAATATCATCACCAAGAGTCCACACATCAGTATTGACTTCGACTTTTGCCAAGAATCGATAGTTGGGTGGAACCTGAAAGAATGCTTTGTTATTTAAAGTAACAATGGCTAATCCACATTGTGCTTGACATTCTGTTATCCAATTGAGACGACGATCTTCTTCTGATAATGAATAGAATGTATAGTGACCATCACTATCTGTGATTAGATATGCATCGCATTCATGTTCTTTTATCAATGCACGCAACGCTTCTACACGACTCATTATACACTTCGATTATTCCAGTGTAGAAATCTTCACTGCTGAAGAAGAGTAGTTAATGTCGCATACAAGATATTCGTTGAAAGATAAGAATTCACGGCTGCTCTCAAAGAAGCAAACTCTGAAAGATAAAAAAAAATAGAAAGAGACACTACGTCAGCTTACGAAAAATGAGGTAGTAAGTGTAAACGAAAAATGTGACGGTCAAGACCATAGGATGACTACGAGAATGTCAGAACTAAAATGTGAGTTGATGAGTAAGTTAGAACCTTCAATAAACTATTACGCTCACGCACGTCACACTAAAAAATAAGGTACTATAGGAAACTTCAAGGATTTAGATGAAAAATAAACATTTTCCTACGTATTGTCTCAATTCAAGAAACCTTAAAAAGAATTTAGGATGTCAACGTGCATGTAAAGATGGGTGAGTGAAGAGAGAATTCACTGTCATACCCAATTTAGACATTACTAAGATTCTTATTTCTTACAATGTATAATAAATGAGGAAATTCTGAGATACTACTTCGTCGTCGACGTCTGAGTCTCTTACAAACTTACTCCTTACTATTTCACTTATATATTGATTATCAAACTTAACAAAAGTTTAGAATACTTATAAGAATCAATTTAATTTAGCACCAAATAATTCTATATTCAATTTATTTACTCAGCAAATGCGAATTTTACTTAGTAAGAGTTAGTTTAGCATTTAGATAGTTTTCTGAACAAACAAATAATTGACTTACTGAAAATCTTTGCTTTCTTTCTATGTTCGCTACTATATGTTCTCATTAGTGTCAATATATTTGACCTTCGTCAGCAATATTCATGATTACCGAAAGAGGTTGTTGTGTCAATGAGCATATCATCTTATGTGATATCTTTCCATTCTCTATATGTTGTTATACAATCGATATTACGTAGTTTGCATAATCGTGTTACTCTTGTACTTAACTGTGCACGATTGAGCCTCATTGTCTTTCTTTCGTAATGTGTTTCTCATGTTGTATCAACATTCACTCGTATATTATATATATAAGGTTACGTTGTTGTCCTTATCCTATTGCTCTTTCATATCTATTCTCTCTTTGACATCGTCTCCTTTCTTTTCATCCTCTCTTATTCAATTCACGTATATAAACGCGTGTTTTGTATGTAAACGACACGATTACCCAGTGAAAAATATTTATCAAAAAAAAAAAAACGACAAAGAATGCTTTCATGAAAACATGGAAACTTGTCTTTTATCTGAAGAACGCGCTCTAAAGTTTAGTGAACGTGTTCATAAACGAAAAGTAACATGCTGAATCTAAAGGAATGCATTCTTTGCTGTTCCGCATTATTACGAAATGATTTCTTTTCAACTCAAAAGCCGTCTCTATCTAGATAGAAAGCGTTCTGAACCGTTCCATAAACGAATAGAATCAGTTTCTATCTATTCTTTTTTGAAACAGTCAGGATAGAGTTCTATAAAAATGAGATTGTTTTCTTTGACGTTCTCCAGAGAAACACCTAAGAATAGCGTCTTTGAAATGATGAACGCATTTCAGACATTCTAACATCATTCTTAGAAAAAAATAATGTATTTTGCCAGCGTTTCTCTAAATTCTTGAACACTTCATCTGGATTCAATGTCGATTTTGATTCGAAATCGACAGCTCTGGAGCACAACACATTGAAAGTAAACTCTTTGTAATGATCTATGAAAATTAAATATAAGCAATCCAGAAGATCTTTGTGCAATTCATCATGTGGCTGTGGGAAATTGAATAGGAATTTTAGTTTTGATTGTACAATATAAAGGGACTAAAGTGACTAACTTTCTCAAAATGTTTTACTCATTACACATTATACTAGAATTAAATATTGAAGATAAAAATAGTTGGACACCATTGTATCATGTTGTACGAATTAATGCATTAAGTTCAATGGAATTTGTTTTGAGTGATGGAATTGATCATATTTAATTAAATAAATAACAAAAAGTATCTATTCGTTTAGCTACTACTCATAATCAATTAAAAGCTCTAAATATATGTTCGAATAGTTTTAATAATTCATTTATCAAAGAAAGATAATAATAATAATCTTCGAGATATTCAAAGTTGTCTAGATATATATCTCAAGTGTTTTTTATTATTAAAATATACAATTGCTAATCAAATTAAATTTCCCCAATGGAACTACAAATGAGAATTACACGTTCAGAGTATTGAAGATCAAATGGGCACTTCGTCGCATCAATTGATCGATTATTATCAAGATAGAATGTGTAGTAAGTATGAGAATATGGATGCAAGAAATTTAGAGTCTTCTCTTCATCGATCAGTCCAACCACCTATATTCACATGTATGTACGTGCAAAACACAGATTCTGACTCTCACTACACCTAACAAGTTCATTCGAAATCAATGAAATGCACGTTATCAATGTAAATGATCATATTTCAAAAGCGATTATTAGCGACAAATGTAAGCAATGAATAGAGTGGAATGTCGGCTATTACAGGTTAGCCGACTAACTGTAACACGTGGCAATGATGTCTATTTGTAAATATTAATAGAACAACAAAAACAAACATTGATGACAGCAAATTTTTTGTTCGGTAACTTGCCAACTGACCGTCGTTATCAGTATACATTTGAAGCAAGCGAAAATGAAAATAATAACATGCAGAAATCAATGAAAGCTAGAAAAGCAACAGTTTGATTGATTCCAAAATTAATATTTTCCAACGTGCTCTTCAATAAAGTATGCAGTCACGGTACTTAAGCCAAAACAAATTTTTGAAACCTGAATGAGAGATTCACTTGGCCGCGCAGTTCGATCTTGTCTACGTCGATACCCATTGTGACCTGATATGCTACACGTAACATGAAAAATTATTTGTATAGTCTATGTGAAATATCCTACTATTCTGTCATATTGAACAATATAGATATTACTATCTATTGGCTGAAGCATCTAACTTCGCAGTACATAATTATCCTGAACTATGTACCAAACAACATTAGTTTTTTTTTTGCAAACAATAGTTAAGATTTTTTGTGAATAAGCGAAATATTCATTTTATTTTTGAAAATGCGCAAAAGGCACAATCGTTTTACAACTTTCTTCAATCATGCATCTAGTGTCCCGTTAACCGTTTTTTATTGATTTTATTGTGTATTTGAATGTTCCACAGAAAATTTTTGTATTTTGTTCCATAGCCACGATTTTGACGTCAAAATCACCAGACATTAAAAACGATAAAATACTTCCAGAAAGATTAGGTAATTCAAGTATTTCATTATAAGTAACAATTTGATTGATTGGTATTTCACGTAAAAAACCATTGCAATTGTTTCCAAGAATAGTTGAAACGAGTGAAGTTAAATATAATCCGAATGTTTTTGGCCACCAATTGCTGATTAATTTACACATTTCATCAGCAGTATAGTTGCATGAACCAACAGGAAGACCATCAACTATATAGCATCTAACGGGAAGACGAATACCACTAACTGTGCGTAGGATGTCAACAGATAGTTTAAACGTTTCTATATATATTGAATGTGGACATTTTTTTTAATTTTATCTCATTTAACTGATACTCACTTATAGGTCGTTTTATCATATATGCTAAAGTTATATTAATGGTGCCAGGATAATGAATTGGTATTGAATGAATGTCAATTGAATTAATGATAACATCCTGTGAGCCACAATCAGTATATTCAGTTCTTGAGTATTCAGCTTTAATGTTGTCTATTGTCGAAGAGACAACAATTAGAATAAAGAATGAAGCAAAATACATGTAGATGCATATACATAAAATAGTAAGTCATGCGCTAGTATATATATATATATATATATTTAAGTGACACATTGTTTTTTGTTTTAAGTATACGCAGGTGTTTGATTAAATGTCCAGTAAGCATTTTAACATGAATAATACCGTCTATAAAGAGAATAGGGCCTCATATTTTTCTTTTTATGGTACGACGCAAATATATCGATCTGTGCGACTGACTCAGTTTTAGAAGAGTGAAACTTAATCTATTTAGATTTTGTTGCGTGCCAATTATTTTTTGCCCAAAAAGAGACCTGCTACTTTCAGAGTGGGCGTAGATAGGTGAGTGAATGCGTAGGTGTCGATGTGAAAGTCTTTGTTCTTTGCGTCTACAACCCCACACACATTCACAAGCTCTTGGAGCTTTTCAAACTTTTTTTGTGACCTTTTGTTGGTTCTGCTAGTTTCTAAAAACACTCAAGATATAAGAAAATATCTCGACAATTGTTGACCCTTAGAATCGAATGAATATTTGAAAATGTAGATTTCTCTTTTAAGTAATCTCTCTTGATTAATATCTAAGGAAAATTAATGATTTCTATAATTGTTCATAATCAATCCTATATATGTGTGTTGTGATTACTCAACTGTAGGTCTCGTAAAATGACCTTTTTTTTAATCGATTTGTAATGTTGTTGATTCCTTTTCAGACGAATAATCTCGAAAATGAGCGATTAGTATAATTTTCTGAATTCGTATTATAATTGTATAATTCAGGACTATATTATCAACATATTCTTTCAGTTTTTGGCTCTCGCTCACAAAAGATTAAGAATCTGGATTCATCAGCACACCACGACTAAATTGATTGTTCAATTTCTGCATCGTTCGACTTGAAAAAAATATGCTCAACACTCACCTGAAATCTCCAAGAATTTCTTAGATAATTGCTCTTGACGTTAAAATTGAAATTTAGTTATTATTAGCAAAACAAACCATGAGTTTGTTTGGATAAAGTGGTTCGAGATCTGATTCGCACCGAAATTCTTAATAACCATTGAAAATATTTACAAAATATTAAATAGTTTCATTCTATTCGTGAAAAATTCACGATCATTCGGACGTATTGGAAGTGTTTTTTTAAAAGTAAATATAGAATAGAAAATCTCATATATCTTACTAGTGAGAATTCACTATGATCTAGAATAGACTAATATTATCGTAATATTAATGAAACACTAGAAACTAACTAATTGCGAATATTCTTTTTATTAGATCCCAAACTAAACATGAACAAGTCTAGTTCTTTTTAGTTTCGATCTCAATCAAAAAGTTTTTAGTCATGATTGTAGTGAAATCATAATTTTGATCACGGATTTATCATTGTATTAGAAGTGAGTTAGTTCGTTCATGTTGCATCCAAATACACGATGTGTTGCGTACAGACATGCAAAAATATAATGATTGTCTCTAACTCTTATTTTTCTTGATAGGAGTTAATAGAATTACTGATACATGAAAAAAGTTTTTCATAGATTCAAAAAAGAGATAAATAACGTGAATCTGTATCTTCTAGAATAATCGATTTCATTTTGATTTGAGAATTTTTTCTATTTTGTTTTACTTTTTCATCGTTAAGTTATATTTGAATAAATGATTTGTACCATACTCCATGATTCATCGTTATCTGAATAATGATCCACAAAGGTACATTCTTATTACAAATAATCTAATGAGATGGTTTACTAAGATCATTTATGAAGAAACCATTTCAGTTATGACAAATTGATTATTTTATAAATTCATTTTTTTCTCTTTTACTGATTCTCTTCTGTCATCAATAGAATTTCAATTAGGATTTAGAATCAATAAATATTTTTTAATGATTTCATTATTTTTGAAAAAGTATTCAACTTGATGTCAACGATTTATTTGTTTACTTAGTGAAATCAATACGATTTTGTTTTATTGACGAAAATGGTCAATGAATTCCTTTAGATTCTTAACAACATCGACAATTCATCCTACAATTGATTGAAGATGATAAATCTGTTATTCTCAACAGATTATCAATGAACAAAACAAACTAACAACAATCTTACAGTTTTGATCTTAAATTATTTTTAATAAGAACTGCTTTGAAAACAACACGAATAGATTATTGTAATTGAAAATGATCAACCATTGAATGATATAATCATATGTTTACCAGTTAATTTTCATTTATTTTTATAAGATTTACAATATAGAAATTATCATCAGAGATCATTTATTTTCATTTCTCTTATTGCTTCGTTATACCACCGAATAAACAAATTATTTGTTTATTAATACAATTTCCATATAGAACCATGTTTAAATATATCTATTGTAAAACTTTTACGGAAATGTTGATCTATGTCTTATTCTTACTTGACTTCATTTTATTAGTCAATCAAACAAAATAACGAATCAACAAACACTTTCGGAAGAATTTCATATAGAGATTATTTTATCCTCTAGTAAAATCTTTATTTCCTGTTAATTAAACGAATCGCGTTGGTCATTAACTCGATTAAGAAATATTTGTGATAAGATTTTTAAAAGATTTTTTTAATCGAATTCCAATGAAAATATATGATCCTTCAACAACATTAGAGACACCTTTAAAGAGTTGCTCATTTATTGATCGTAAACATAATGATAAAAAATAATTGGTATTCAATACTCAAAAGCTACCTACGCAATTTAGTGTAGATCCAACATATGTGTATGTAAGTGCTTTTGAGAAAAAATTATTTTATCTGATAAACAACAAGCGATGTTAGATAACAAAAGATCTTTGTCTAATAAAAAAAAAATTGCTTTTTTTTTTGCTTCGAATAGTTCATTATTAAAAAATTCGTGTCTTATTAAGAAGATATTGATTCCAAATAAATTCTTGAATTTGAAATAAAATTTTCTTCTATTATTGAAATATTATTAAACAAAATAGTGTAAACTATAGAAGGTCTCCAATACAACCTTCTTGTACTTCTATAGAACAATTGAATATCAACTATTCAACATCGTTTAGCTCAATAGTTTATTGAAACAAGAAAAAATCTATCATTGATTGTTTTTCATTTTCAAATAAAATATTTAATCAAACTAACTTTTATCATAACATAATGTAAACGATTATCTTTACAACAAAAAACATTTGAATATACTCTACCTTGGAAAAAAAAGAGAGACAAGAGTATCAACAATGATGGCGATACTTCATGCCTTGTTTTTAATCAAAATGAGTTTTATTCTTCTCTGATAAGGAATAAATTCTATTAAAAGATGGATTTTTTTTTTCTAATGAATAATGAGTGTTTCTTAACTAGATGTTCGTTTTGCTTGTCATTTTCATAAGACACATAGTGTTCTTCAATATTTAACTATCAATCAAGATATCAAATAAATCATTCCTATCGGTTAAATAACATCAATTATATTCACATAATACATTTTAGAGAAATTACAATTAAAATATTCAATAAATATTCTCTTGGTTTTTTTCATCTAGATAAAAGTGAAGAGAAATTCTAACTGTTTGGAATTTGATATATACATGAAGATTGAAATCATGAATTAAGTTGAATATATTCATGTTTTCGAATATTATTTTCAGTCCGCGGTAGTATAGTGGTTAGTATCCCCGCCTGTCACGCGGGAAACCGGGGTTCGATTCCCCGCCGCGGAGTAGTTTTTTTTTTTCTTTCTTGTTCATAAGTACCATTAAAGTAAGTGCTGTTGTATTGTGTACTCTTTTAGCAGACTCAATCAAATATTTTTTTGATTGTATGCTTAGGTGAAAATGTATTCATTTATTGAAAAATTGTTCACCTTTTTTTTTTTGTTTAAATATAAAAGAAAATATCATAAATAATCGATATATTCATTAAAATAATCAATGTCAAATTGTCAATATACCTAAACTTAAAAAAATGTATAAAGATCTAATGGTAACGGGTAGAGTAATCTGAGAAATGATCGAAGGTATTATTTAGAAACGAAAACACATCGTACAAAGTGAAGTTGTAGCAAATAATCCCGATTAATCGATTTTGAAATAAGAAATTAAGAATAGTTCTACTAAGTTATTTTACTGACATCAATAAATATATTTTTGTTAACTTTGAAACTTCTTCATTTATTATTTTATAAAAAGAACAAGCAGGATGTTTTTTTTTCTTAAAAGTAGAATGTACCACCCAAATTGACATGACAAACTAGACCGGGACAATATGGCTATTTATTGTCACAATAGCCACCTTTTCGTTGGCAATCATTTGAGGTAGAACCTTTCAATGACATCGCCTCCCTTGTATCTATTTCCATAAACATACCGATTCAGCAAACAAGTAGAAGTACACGATGCATTATCAAAAACATTCATATTTAGATTGCAATTGACAATAAGAATAATAAAATATATCTCATTTATTTTTATAGTTTTTCTTGTGTTACATTCTGACTAGATTCACATCGATCTATCTACGTTTATGAATCTATTTGATTAGTTTTTTATCTTTTTATCTAATCATAACATTATTCGACATACATTGATATCGATCATTTTAAGTTGTTTAATTATTAATCGATAAAGATTCAATCATAGACAAGCCATGCAAAAATACTTTCGACAGATAATTCTTAGAAAAATAATAATAATTTATCATTAACTAAATAGTTTCTTTCCTTATGACTTCAACATTTTTCAAATAACAGTAATACTATAAAGAAAAAAAAAACTACTCCGCGGCGGGGAATCGAACCCCGGTTTCCCGCGTGACAGGCGGGGATACTAACCACTATACTACCGCGGACATTTTATTTATCATATAAAGAGTTTCACTATGAGAACTTTGTTCATTAGTTACTTTAAAAAATATATATACAATCAAAAAATTTCTATATTTTATTCATTCAGAGAAGAGAAAGAATAACTAGTTTATCTTTTTTTTTCTATTTTAGATTTCTCTCTGTAAAGACATACCTTACATACAAGTGAAAGAAAATATATTTACTGCAGCAAATCGAATGAGTTGTAAACTACATGTCAAACGACAAAAAGAGATTAGAAAAATACTTATCTACACGCTGATTTAGATTGCTCAGACCTTCGAATTCAACAATTTATTCTTTTATTGCAACAGAAATTTTTTATAATAGAAAATATTGTTGAAATAATTCTATTTAATCTGATAAATCAGTCGATTATATAAAATATTCCTCTAGAGTGAACAATAAAAAAATATTCGATTAATTTTATAAAAATTATAAAAAAAATTGGTCGAGTTTCTGACTTTTGTAGTTAACATATATCAGTTAAATAAAATAATGAATTGAGTACATAAATGATCGACCTCTATCGAATTGATACTGTTGGTTTGCATCAATATCCACTCGAAAAAAGAAAAGAAATAATTAAAAAGCTCTTGAAATTCATGTAAATAAATAAATCTTTAAATATTGTTCCTAATGGCAACAGGAAAATCTCAAGGAGTTACGAGTTCAGTTAGTAGTTCCAATATACCAACTGGAAGAAATAAAGAAGATCTACCTGCTCTCAAAAATAAAGTCGCCGAAGTATAAAAGTTCTTTATTTGAAATTTATTTTAACTTGTGAATTTTTTTTTGTCCAATTAAGCTTGAACGTCAAGTTGCTGATTATAAAATAAAATTAGATGAATTACGTCGTGCTAAAGCTACAACTGTAGTCAAATTAGAAAAAGAATATGTTAATACAAGTATTCCTGGGTTTGTTATTATTTTAAATATTTATATTATTTATAATAATTAACTTTTTTATTCATAGAACAAATCGTCCTGAAAAAACAAAATCATGTGAAAAATGTGAAGAACTCGAAAAAATGTTAGATAATGAAAGAAAATCAAATGCACAATTAAAACGATTAATTGAACAAAAAGAAAATAGCAAACAACAATCATCATCAACAAATTCTGGTCCATGTACAAAATGTTCAGATTTGAAAAATTTATTAGATATTGAAAAACAAAATAATCAACAATTAATTGAACAACTCAAACTCGAAAAACAACAAACACAACAAGAACGATATGCTAAAGAGGTTTTATTTAATTAATTATAGATTTTTATATTTTCTTTTATTTATAAATATAGGTACTCGAACGAGCATTGGATGTTGCACATTCAGATTTAGTTGAAACGAAAAATTTATGCGAAGCATTACGTGTTGAAAATCAAGATTATCAAGTTTCTTCTTTAATATTATTTTTGTTTTTAAATAAATCTTTCGATTTTATAGAAAGCATTTGATACAATGAAAAAAGAACATACAGAAAAAATGGCTGATTTATGTAATCGGGAAGAAGAAGCAAAAAAACAAGTAAACTTACTTTTTATTTATTGGTTTTGTTTTTCTATACAAGATAAATAAAGGTTGCTACTTGGGAACAAATGTATCGAGAATGGATGGCAACTATGGAACGAAGAGTTAATAATTTACAAGTTACTAATGAAGGGCTTCAAGTATGTATTTAATGATAATAGAGAAATATAAAAAAAAAGAAAATAATTTAAAAAACTTTGTAGACATGGTTACATGATGATAATGAAATAAGTCCACATCGTCAAGGAGGTGGTGGTGGAAATAATCGTCGATAAATAAATTCTTCCTAATCTCGATAATAATAATGACTATTCGATATTTTTTTTAACAATGATGTGTGTTTTTATTTTCTCATATAACTAATCTCATTTATATATACGAGAATTATTTTCCGTCCATTTTTTGTGCCTTATTTTAAAAATAAAAGAAAATATTTTATTTGTAGATGTTATTTAATAAATAGAATATCTTCCATAATGAGTAAGTTAATTTAATATTAAAAAATAAAAAAAAAAACTAAAATTTTTGTTAAAGTATCTTATCCATTACGTGAATACATATCATCAAAAAAAGATGATGATTATCATCAATCTTCTTCTTCTTCTTCTTCCTTAAATTATTCATCAACTAAAACAAAAAATAATTTAAATGTAAGTTTTTCTTTTTCTTTTTTTCATTTTATTTAATTAAAATAAAAATAATTTTTTAGAATAATTATTCTAATCGATTTATTTGTTTTATTCTTTCTCTTATTCTATTATTTATATTTTCAACATTATATTCATATTATTCATATATTGATCCAACTTGTTTTAATAATGAATGTACAGATTTTGTGGTTAGTTATATATTTCAAATTTTTCTTTCTTTTTTTTATTTCTTTTTTCTTTTTAAATATTTCAAGTGTAAAGCTTATTCAGAAGGTTTAATCGGTGGTCAATTATGTCCCGATTTATGTACAACAAAAACTATTCAATTAGAAAATTGTTTAGGTGAACATAAACAGTTTGAATCAAGAGTAATATTATATATTTTAAATAAATAAATAAAATATTCCTTTTTTAAATATTTTTCTAAATAGTTATTTGATAATAATGAAGGAAATCAAGTTATTCGTTGTTATTTAAAACATCCATTAAGTAAAACAAATCCATCTGGAGATCTGAAAAAACATTTTTATTTTCCTGAAGATGAATCAACACTAGAAAAACTTTATATTGCACTTCAACAACATATTCAAGTATCATTTTCAATTTTCTTTTTTTGTTTTTTTCAAATCAAAATTTATATTCGAATATTTTCAATTTATAGAAAACAATTCAATTAGATAATCCAGATATTTTAATTGAAGATTTACTTAAATTTGCTGATTTTAATAAAGATGATAAAGTAAATAAAAAAGAAAAAAAAAAGAAAATTTCATTTTTATTATTAATTAGATAAGTTTATCTGAAGCACGTAGTCTTTGGTCACTTGTACAAATAGATGAATTTTTTTATACAATATTATTATCAGATAAGGTTTATACACCAAAAATTCGTGGAACATGTGGACATATATTTGCTATTGAAAAAGTTATTTATCACAATTTACCTTTTGATGATAAACAAGGTTTTTATTTATTGTTTAAATAATCTTAGTTTTATTAATGAAATATATTTATTTATATTCTTAGAATTATATCCATCATCAGAACGACCTAATTGGTTTCAAAGAGTACGATTAGCTATTGGAATAATTGAATTTTATAGTGATACATGGCATTATCAAGATACTGATCAACATTTATATTTATGTCAACCATTAATTAAAGCATTTGGTTATGATAAAGATTATGAAGCAAAAGTAAGTTTTAATTATTATTTCAAAATAAATTCAATTAATATTTGTTTTTTCGAATTATTTCAAATCATTGATCATAAAGATTTTTTTTCTATTATTAATATATTCATTTGGTTAGTATAATTATTCATTATCTTAAATAAAAATTACTAATTGTTTGACAATCTTACTCTAACTTACATCATATCTAACATATTAATCAAGTTGTTTCAACTCATTTTATATAAATATACGAAACAACATTTTTCCCTAGCCACTATATACTTACAGGAAGAACAACTATTGTCTCTAAGATAAACTTGTGTACAGCCTCTTATGTGCAAATAAAGATTTTTGTCTATAAAGTGAACGCCAATCAAGAAAGAATAGAAAGTAGAAAAATAATAAAAATAACTGAAGAAGAATAAATGAATGAATAATTCCAAGATATAAATGTATGAACGACCGCTTTTAATTTGTATATAATTATTTGCAGGATCTTCTAAAATTCGTTAAATATTGGATGTTGTATACCGAGTTTTGATTCTCTTTGGCTTTAATATGAAACCTCGTATCAATTGAGAAATCTCATTGTTTAAGTATAATTGGTGAAACAATACTAAAATACAGATTGTGCTGAATTCATGATAGAAAAAAAAATAAAATTAGCATTATGTGATTGTGCTTTCAATGTGACTTATACGAGGACAAGTTTTTAATGACTAAAATGGATAATGTCCTATTCTCACGTCTTTTAAACACTTATAAGAAGAAAAAAAATATTTCGATACTCTTTTTCATTTGTCTATAATTAATGTAAATTAAATAATTGATCATTTTTGGCGAAATATGCTTAGAAAATAATGGTATCATATATTTATGATCTATAGATACAATTATATAGTAGCAAATTGATAATTTTATTTTCCAGTTTTGAAGTTTTTGCAGATAATCTCTATGCAGATGATCAGTTGTTGTCATAATTCTCTTACACACAATAGTCATAAACCCATAGTTACAAGATCAATTTGTTATTCGGGTTCGGTACGTTTTTATCTCGAAATGAAATAAGAGTTGTCGAGAATTTTTTATGGATAGAAAGGATCATAGATTGAAGAGAGGATGGTTGCATCTTTACAACTCTACAAGTGTTAACTAAAGAGATGGAGAAGTGAAGAACGAAATCAATCGTCACTGGCTACCTTCCAGAATAGACGATCTATCATAAAACTATCCCTGACTCAATTCTTTCCACTTCCCAAGGACATTTTCTGCTTATTTTCATTTCACTTTCTACTAGAGAAAAGAAGATCGTGTTTCAAGTCTGGTTTCTATCCAAAGTAATGACAAAGTTATAAAAAATTGTTATAAAATATTAAGAATTTTATCAGAAAGGGGAAGATTTTGAGTGCAGGGAAGTTCCATCTTCCTAATCGAGAATCCTAGAGGAAATTATCTGATAGAAACAAAGAGTTGTTTACAAATTGAATAGAAACTATGTCAGATGAAAATTTGATTTGATAAATATCAGTGAAAATGATAGTTTGTTAGAATATTTAACTATTTTGAAAGATAAAATCGAAATAGATGATGATATATAATATCGTCTAGAGTGATAGTTTTTCTAGTTTTAAATAAAATAAGTAAAATTAGTTTAAAAATTCTGTGGATAATTTGATGTTTAACATAGGATGATTGATTTTGTTTTGCCTAAACAAATAAAACTAGTTAATCAATTTTTTTTAATTTTGAATATAATTTGTCATTTTCAATAAATCGACTAGGAAAAAAAAATTTCTTTTTTTTTGTCAGTGTAAAATAATGATATAAGGAAAAGTTAAACAAAGATAAATGTTGAAAGATTTTTTTGTTTTTGAATTGATTTATTTAAATATAAAATTAAAATTTAGATGTTAAAATTAAATCATTTAATATCATCAAAATCCATATTATCTCGTCTTCCAAATCGTTGTAAAGAAACTCGAGATTGTTTATATGATTCATATTGTTATGCATCATGTAATATATCAACAAATAGTTGTCAAATGAAACAATTTAATAAAGATTCTTTAAATGAATTATGTTCATTAATATCATCATTAATTAGACCAGATGCTAATTCAACATTTATTGATGATTTAAATCGAATTATTGATGAATGTCAACAATTATTTAATGATAAAACAATTTATTCAAATAATAATATTGATTTAATATCATTACAAATTCGAGAAACACTTATTTTACAAAATTTAAAAAATCTTCTTTGGACAAATATTGAATATCAAATGAATAAAATAACAAAAAAATCAACGAAAAAGCCAACATCATTATCTACTCATTCAGTTAAATAATAATAAAAATTATTTTTATATTTATCATTCTTTTCTTTTCAATTATTTCTCTTTGTTTTATCTACAAATTAACCTGAACTTTCATCTTTATTGTTTCATTTTTTTTTCTCTCAATGAAAATTATCATTTTCGAAAGATTACAATTATTTTATTCGATCTTAAATGCTAAACTTCATTTTCAAAATCGATCAATCTCAACAACAATAATAACATTCATCTTATTTTATGTATTCTACTTCCATATAAGAGTATCTCATAGTTCAAATACAAAAACCTTTCAGAAAAAGAAAATGAAAAGATTTTATTAAGGATCTATCGGTTGACTAGTAGCAAGAAAAAAACCTACAAACGTCTATTTATGAAATTAGTATTATTTTAGTAAGAAAGTAAACAATTTACATAGGAGAAAAACAAATTCAATATTTCATTTTGAAATCATCAACAATTATCTTTGAATAAAATTCTTTTATGAAAAAACAAATTCCAATAGGAAATATTTTTTTTTTCCATACAAGAAAATCATTTATAATCTATAGGGCCTCATTTTTTCTCATTTACTATAAGACACCTCCTTTGAGTCACAACTAGTTCATTAGAAATAGAATTTTTTTGCTTATTTCTGAATACATGTTTATATTTTCCTTCTTAGATAAGATTGAACACCTATTAATTAATTTAGTGAAAAAGTTCAACATAGTGTCTCTACAAAGAAAAAGATGCCTTATGACACAGTCTTCACTTTACGGAATCGGTTAGACTCAACATTATTGTTGACTACTCAATTCTCTATAAAATGAGATAAATTTTTTTAAATATAGAAAAGTTTTAAAATGTTTCATGTAACATAAAATAGCAAAAGTAAATTTGACACTTTATAGAGCAAATCTTGCTCAAGAAAGATAAACCTGTAAAATATATTTTCTTTTTTGAATTTTACAGGGCCTAATCGAAATACAAAATTGACCAAAAACAGTCTTCTTTACAAGCACTATATTAGAAGTTTTCAAACAATCTGATGACAGTTGTGCAATGTTAGTAGGCAAGAAGGTCCTCAATACCTCCTATTCAGCAAGAGCAAAAAAAGACTGATCCTAATAAATAATATCTGCCTCTAACCTATGAAAAGATAAGTTAACCTAGTAGAGTGAATAGGAACATTCAAAGATATTGGTTCAGTTTGTTATGTTTTGATGATTACGAAAGAGAAATTAAATTGATTTATAAAGAATTGATTATTTCTAAACTATAATTTGAGGATGAAATGTGAACGAGATAAATATATTCAACTCGATCTTTTATATATATATATATTTGTTAGATCCATCAATAATTATTTATTTTAATCGAAAAACATAAAATAAAAATGTTAAAATCTAAGATAAATAAATTTATTCTAATAAAAGTTCGAATTGTCATTTCTCATCTATAAAATCTAATGATAATAATATTGAGTTAAAATAATTTCTAATAGAAATAATAAAAAGTTAAATTTTATTTGATTACTTTAGATAGATGAATATTGATCAATTTCTAGATTGGTTTAATTCAAGAGGTGTTTGTACAGAAAATATAAATGTTTCTTATAAAAAAGATATTGGTTTTGGTCTTTATTCTTCTAAATCATTAATTGAAAAAGATTCTCTCATTCTTTCAATACCTGAACATCTTTTTATTAAACCATCATTTGAAAAAAGTGATTTAACAGGTTTTGAACATCTTATTATTTATTTATTAGAAGAAAAAACAAATCCATATGTTGAATTTCTTCGATCAATAAAATCTATTCCAAAATGGCGTTTTTATCCAAATGATAAATATCCTCAACAATTAATCGATAAAATGAGTAAACATATTAATAAATATAATAAATCACGAAATAAATTTTTAAATTATAATGATCAAGATTTTCAATGGGCTTATTATACAATAAATACACGATGTGTTCATTTCGATATGAATATTTCATCAAAGGATCAAGATGATAATCTTTGCCTTATTCCATATTTAGGTTTATTAAATATTTAACTATTTTTAAAAAATTATTTTTTTTTTTAAATTTTTATCTTTTTAGATTTTGTTAATCATTCAATTGAACCAAATACAATTTCAAAATATAATTCCTTAACTAATTCGTATGATATATATACAATAAAATCAATAAATTTAAATGAAGAAATAACATTTATTTATAATCCTCATTCAAATGTTGATTTATTTATTGAATATGGTTTTATTCTATCAGTTAATCCATATAATCAATTAAACATCGAATATCAACTTGAACAAATTCTTTCGAATAAACAAATTGAAATAATTAAATCATTTAATTATTGGAATTCATTAGATTTATATTCATCTAATAATGATATATCATGGACAATAATTAAATCAATTGAATTAACTTATAATAATAATAATTGGTCACCATATTATCATCCATCATACAAAGATAAATATAAATTATATGATAAAATTTACTTTTTTTTAACAATTATTAAACAAAATATAGAAAAAGATTTTCAACAATGGATAACAAATCATTTTACTTTAGAGAAAAATATACTTTATAACGATTTTTTAACAATTATTCATCATACATCTACTATTATCAACAATATATTTAACTAAATCATATCATTATATCAAAAATTATCATTTTCTCTCAACAGATTTTATTTTCTCAAAAACAAATTTTGTCACCAACAATCAGAATGAAGAAAATATAATTTTGTTCGTTGGAACTTTCCTTATTGATAATCGATAATATGTCATTCGATAGAATCTGATTCCACCTCTATCAATAAATAACAAAACAACGAATGTCTTTTCCCGATGTCACCAAGATTTAAGATAGATAGAATCGAAAGCAAACTATAATTTATTTCAACAGAACTATTCAGTTAGTCTAATAGAATTTAGGCTTAACAACTCTATCAAATTTCTATAAATAGTTAACTATCAAACAAATCAAAGGAGATCACCTCATTTCTAACCATATCAAATAGAATCGAAAGGTAACGCACAAAATTCACCACATTTATCTGCTTTTTTTTTGTTTTGTCGACTGAAAAAAAAACTTGTATATCTATCGAATATCACTTTTCAACGTTTTCAATAATAATAATCATACTGATCATTTTCTATTCTAAACCGAATATTAAAACTAATAGAATATATCGATACTCTTTTTCACGGTCTATCTATATTGAAAGAGAATACACATCTTTCAACTTAGATCAATAAACGGTATTATAAGGTGAGCGTGAAAACGTACATCAATCTAGTCAATTTGTTCTCGTACTAGCTTTATAATAGAAACCAACTTCAAGCAGTATAGTTATTATTTGAAAGATCAAAAACTAATAGACACAATAAAACTATTCAGTCCTTGAAAATTGTTTTATTCTATTCAAGAAAATAAAACTGATATAAATCTTGAATTTCTTTTGAATACATTATAACTCAATATAGTTTAAAGATAAGTATATATATATATTGACCTTTTGCAACAAGGCGAGCGTCTAGAAAAGTAAAGAAAGCCTCGAGACAGTTAACGATAAAAATAAAGCGTCTATGTAACCATGAAAAATAATCTTTTACTTTCATCACCAACATGTTGTTTTTTTTTTGTTGCTTCACATACGTCGATTGATGCACAAAGAAATGACGCTGCCTTTTCTTTTCTTCGTCTATGATGGATATTTCTTCCTTTTTCGATTTATTCATCTTAAAATTTGTTGTAGATACAAAAAAAAAAACAAAAATGTCGTTGAAAATTGGAGATGAATTTCCAAATTTTAAATTAAAGACAACAATTGGTGATATTCAATTATATGATTGGCTTGGTGACAAGTTAGTAACTTTCGAATTATTAAAAAATGAATTTCTCAGATAAAATATTTTAGATGGGGAATTTTATTTTCACATCCAGCTGATTATACACCTGTTTGTACAACTGAATTATCACGTGCTGCTAAATTAGCACCAGATTTTGCTAAAAGAAATACAAAATTAATTGGTTTATCATGTGATAGTGTTGAAAATCATCAGGGTTGGATAAAAGTATGATTTTATTCTATCAATGATTAATTTTTATTTTATTTAATATAAAAGGATCTTCAAGCTTATGATAATAAAGATAAAGGTTCAGGAGAATTTCCATTTCCAATAATTGATGATAATGATAGAAAATTAGCAAATCAACTTGGTATGATTGATCCAGCTGAATTTGATAAAAAAGGTTTACCACTTACTGCTCGAGCTGTATGTTTTCATTTTTATTTCAAATAAATAAATCTATAATTAATTATATTTATAGGTTTTTTTTATTGGTCCTGATAAAAAAGTAAAAGCAAGTCTTCTTTATCCAGCAACAACTGGAAGAAATTTTGAGTTTGTTTTTTATTTAACATATTATTATTATCAATTTCTTTTTTTTATTTAGTGAAATTCTTCGTTTACTTGATTCACTTCAACTTTCAGCTAAATTACCAATTGCAACACCTGTCGATTGGAAGGTAAATTGATATTTGTTTGAAAAATATTTTATTCTAATTTATAATAACATAAAAGGTTGGAGAAAAAGTAATGGTTCCACCTAATGTTAAAGATGAAGATGTTGCAAAACATTTTCCACAAGGTGTTGAAGTTCGACGTGATCTTCCAAGTGGAAAAGGTTATATTCGTATGGCACAAGTTTAAATATAGAATGAAAATATTTTCTCTTTTTTTATTAAACAAGACATTTTTCGTTGATAATAAACACATTTAATGACTGTCACGATCTGCTCCCGCCTTTATTAAAAATTAAAATTCAAAGGCGAGGCTAGATGAACAGTTTTTTTCTGTGTCTTTATAACAAAATTGATAGAAGATATTCAAAAAAAGCAATTAGACTGTTTGCACAACCCAGCGGAATTTTTTTAAATTGAATCACGGCGCGAGGTGTGTGAACAGTGTATTCGCAATTTTCATATATATATATATATATTTTTTTTTTTTTTTCTTTAAATTATATTTAAATCTCATCGGAGGGAACTGATCGACAAGCTTCGCCATATAATTTATCGTTGAAGCGAGGCAAGACGAACAGTGACTTCCCTATGAGAAATCTAATATCTACTTACTCGACTATACGATAGAGATTCAATTGTATAACTATTTCATTGAGATACACATCAATTTATATAAGAATAATCAAACAATGGATAGAATCATTGGTTCATATCAACCTCTTTGTCATTTATTGGTTGAGATTAATAAATGACCCTTGGCCCGGTCACCTTCTCTCTTTGTTTTATTCTTCTTTTACCAAGGATATTCATTCTACAACAATATTCAATGACCGGTCGCGACCGACGTGCAAAAAGAAAAAGAAAACAATAGGAAAGAGAGAGAGAGAGAGAGAGAGAGAGAGATGAGAATATTCTTCTCACGGCAAATATTCATTTTTTTCCTCTTAAAACCAGTTTTTATTCAAGATTTTATAATATTAAACAAAAAAAAAAAAATCTTTGAAAATAAAGAAGTTTTTATATAAATGAATGTATGATGAGAATATGAAAAGTTATTTTTATATATTTGATCGATTGAAGATAGAATTAAGACTAAACAAGAAAAAATTTTGGTTAAGATAAAAAGTAATATCAAGCAAATAAGAGATTCATAAAACGTCACTATATTTGATCGAGTATTAAACCAAATCGAAATCATTATGATAAAACCAAAAAAAAAGAATAGTCGAAATTAAAGCAAATGCAAATCGAATAGCAAATTATGATTCATTCTTTGGTAAGATATTAGTCAATACTTCGTTTACATATTAGAAATTTGTTTTTTTTTTCGATTTTATTCGATACATTCATCGGAATTCTTCAACATCTGAATATTATTCTATTTTTTAGTTTTTCCTAAAAGATCCTCTCCGAATAAGGTCACCTATTTACAATTGAGAAATAAAGTATACACTTTTCTAGCGGAATGCGAGCCGTGTCGAATGGTATATAGTAACTCTGATCGTTGGTATTAGTCGAAAGTGTTTAGAATAATTTTAACTTATATAGAATTTTCTAGATTTTTTTATGGTCTACAAGCTGATATACTTAATATCTCTGATAATTCTATCTTTTATAGGGAAAAATTGTTATTTGTCAATGTTTTACCGTCATTTTTGACAAATGATAGGTTCCCTTTATTCAATGGTGTCGATCATCAAAGAAGTAACCAAACAGGAAACTTTATCAGAAATTGTCTACGTTCTAGTGTTAGAAAAACATACTGTTTGAAAGTTTTCGAAAATTTTTCCATGAATTTTAATTTTTTAAGATTATATTTCAAGATATTGACTATGAAAAGTTAGTTCTGCGAGAAAATAAAGATGATATTTTGAATCAACATAAAACACTCGATCGAATAGCTTAGATTTTAACTAAAGATTTTTTTTCACGAATATTTAGCCTGTACTCCCCTTCAGTCATTTTTTTCCCAATTTCGCTCAGTTGTCTCTCAAAGGATCAATTTTGGTGGAAAAAATCTTTAGTGGAAATTTAAGCTATTCGATGCAGTTTTATTATGGTGATTGGTAATATCATCTTTATTTTCTAGAAGAACCGACTTTTCATAGTCAATATGTCGAAAAAGTGTGTCAAAAGATAAAAATTCATGGAAAAATTTGTTAAGATTTGTCAATGCAAGGCAATTTTAGGTATGTTTTGTAGTGGTGTATGGTGGACTATTTTTGATAAAGTTTCATGTTTGGTCATTTCGTCAGCATTCGATGTGGCTCAACTTGCGGTAGAAAGGTGTATAGTTGGTTTCTCAATTCTAAAATAGGTTATGTTATCTTATAGGGTCCTTTGAAATAAAATCTAATATCTTATAATAAAATATTGTTATAATAATAGATAAGAATTTGTCAATAAATTTCATAATAAATAAATGCAAGTCAAAATTTATCTATCGTTAAAAAGATACATGAAAATCGATTCGAATATTTGAATAAATGTTGAAATGAATATGAATTTATTTATTTATTTATATTCTATGAATATGAGATGTTATTGTAAATATTGACATTTAAAACTGATCTTATTGATCGTTATGTTAAGGAGAGAAAGAGAAGATCTTTTAAGTAAATATGTTTTTACCGATTTTTATTTCGTCAAAACATCTATTTACATCTCTTTTTTCTTTGATCGAGATTCTAAATGAGTTGAAAAATGTTTATTCCTTCAAATAAATTGAATTTATTTTCAATATATCATTTCATTTTTACTTGAAGAGTGAAATTATTGGCGTCATTATATTTATTTAAAATATCTTATTGACATTGAAGTATTTCAATATTCTAATAAAGGTAAATAAATGATTCATATTTCAACAATCTCTTCATAGAGACAACTAAATATTTCTCAATATAAACATATGCTTTTTTTTTTAATATTAATGCACAGCAGGCTACTTCGTTTTTCTATTTTCACACATTTTATTTGAACAGATGCCGTTAGACTAATAGACGAATGAATCAACCAATGAATAAAACAATGATTATAATCACAAATTGACACACGAAAACAAAAAAAAAAATGCGTTCAATGTGTGATCAATCGTAGTGAATTGTCTTATACCTTCGAGAATAAGATTATTATTGATTCGAACCTTTTTTTTTATCATTCGATCTAAAATTGCATCAATCTGTGAAAAATATTTATTCATTGAAAAGATTTTTTAAATAGAATCTTGAGATAAAAACTATTTTGAAATATATTAATTGAAAAAATGATTCTTTATTATAATATGATTATCTCAAATTGATATATTCAACTACATTAATTATATTGAATAAATAATTATTTAACACGACTACACATTGAAAAATAACTGATAAGACAAACAATTTATTTTCCAGATGGGAACTCGATTTTATTTTTATTTTCATCATCCGACCAAAATTTATATGTTTTAATCTATTTTAAATGAATAAAAATTCGATTCCATTTTATAATATATTCTAACAAAGTTGAGAGAGATAGATCTCGATGAATAATCTTCCTTCAGGGAGACATTGGCTTCCCAAGAGTCTAACATGGATAGTAGTTTCCCTCTACTCCAATAAACTTTCTACTAGATCTTTCTGAGCTGAAATTTTTTCTCTGATAACTAGAATTAAATCGGGATGTGTCTTTTTTTTCTTCGAAAAATATTCTTCCTAGAGCTCAACAGAGGCAAAATACGAAAAGCACTATTAAAAAATGTTTTTTTTTTCAATGGTGGTCATTTTGGAAAGACTGCCAAATTTCATAGGAAGAATATTATCAAGAAAGAAGAAAAAGATAGAACACAATTCGATCAAAGTACTTATTCAAAAAAAAACTTTGAGTCCGATCGATTTTATCGTGCGGGAAAAAACTTCAAGGAAAATTTCACTTTTATGTCTTTTTGTTTTAGCATAAAATTCAGTTTTTTTTTAGATAGAAAAAGATGATTTTATCTTGTTGAAATGTGCTCGCTAGATGGAGGGTATTTAAATCTATATCCCCAACATTAAAAATGAAAAAGGAAAAAACTGAAAATTTTCGGTCGGAAAAGTAAATTCTCCCTTTAACATATTTCAAACAAAAATATTGTTCGATTAGTCGAATTAAATTCATTTTTCGATCTTCAATAGAATATTCAGTTTGTTTATAAAACGAAAACAAAACTCGATAAAAAGTGAAATATTTCTAATCGTACTCTTATTAATCTCTTTTTTTTAAAAGACTTTTTCTTTTCAATCTAGAAACTCAAACAATAAATCAATAATAATAGAAGGGAATTTTCAATTCAATTTTCTCAAACTTTTTTCTAAATAAGTAAACAATATATTCAATTTAACTTTTCTCAATATTTCTATCTTCTATGTTAATTAATCACACTAAGAGAATATTAGAAAATATTCATTCAAATCTAAGATAATTATAATAATACCACAAACGAATAGATCATATTTGTTTTTCAATCATTTTAGCCTTTAGTTTTTAAAATAAACCGCTAACCAAAAAAAAAAAAAGAAATCAGTTTTTCTTGTCTTCATTTTTTTCCGCCTTTTAAGATAATTAAAATGAACATAAGATAAAAAATTAGCCGGTCTACTCTTTGAACTGGTGAATTTATAGATGACAGCTGGAAATAAACCTGATGAAAGATAGAGAATCAGAGAGATAATCAAACGATCAATCGATTCTCTTCATTAAGCCGGCTAACTGCACGAACTGCAGTCGACGACTTATTGCTTTTCATTCGGTTAGTTCCCATGGCAAATTCTTCTTCTTCTTCTTCTTCCGCCTCGACGTATGAGTCACGATTCAAGTCAGCCGCTCGTTCTCAGCTCCTAAGGATCATTTTTAATCGAAAAAAGCTCGGCGAGATCGTGAGAACGTGACGAGTACATATCTGAAATCCGTTTTTCAAAATTCGGTACCGTTCGGAAGATATAGAAAACGTCGAAAATGATAATTAAGAGGTGATAGTTTCCTTATATGGGTATGCATGATTCAATCTTAGATGATCATTCCTATCTAAGATGTCAAATGCATAGATATTTTAATTATCGTCCTGTATAAGTTAAATTCATCGATGAAGGAGTCTCGAACGTTGAGAAACTCTTTACATAGCTTATACAGATAAAATATGAAGAGTGATAATAAACAGGTGAGAACTTCCTTATATGGGCATATATCATTCAGATTAATTATCTCTCACTTGTCATCTGAACGAACATAGCTGAACGTGACTGAAATTCATTATCATTTCCTCCATGCGAGCCTTTACTTTAGAATTAGCAGATGTCGTTTACGATCGGATTTAGAGATCATCGGACATTGCGAGGTCAGCCGCCTTTTTTCTACTCGAGGTTCGCTTGAGTGGTAGTCTAGTTACTTATGTATTCAAAGGTGTTGATCGAGTTTTCTTTATGTTGAATGCAAGAAGACCAGTTCAAATAAAATCTCTTTTTTTTATGCAGTGTCAACGATTAAGAATTTTTCTTTGAAATTTTTTTAAACTTTTTCAATATATACAAAAGAACTTTCTATTATGTATCGAACGCGAAGATTATATTTGACAATATACATTATTAAAAAGATTCAAGAATATCGCATCTATTTAGAAGTTATTACGATCAACGACGAATTCTTCTAGACTTTGCTTTTTCTTTTTCGTCTTTTCAGATAATTCAAATGAACAGAGGAAAAAAAACCGATAGGCATCAATATTTTCAAACATTGTTATTACATGTTAAAGATGTGAAATCAGCTAATGATATATAATCAATCAGATAAATATTTAACCGATCAATAACCAACATATTTTAGAAGCATATTCATATGCATTAATCGAGATATTCTATATCAACTGATTGATCGATACCTTACTTTTCCCTTATATCGAGAGAAAAAAAACCTTGATTCAAGTTAACTATGAATATCGTTTGAAGAAAAGTATTCCGTAGCCAATCATAGAAATATAAACTTAAATATAATTTACTTTTGACGAGTTAAATATTCAGAACAGTTGATTTTTTTTTGTTATTTTTAAATAAACTTGTTAACTTAAAAGATTTATTATTGATAGATATCTCGATTTTTCTTTAATCCAAAGTTTACTTTCAAAAAAAAAACAATGAAGAGAAATATCTTATTTAAATTAACTAAACTACAGTGTTAAATAAAAAAATCTACTTCAAATTCTCTTCGATAATTCAAAATCACTCAAAAAAACTTTAAATTATTTTAAGCACTTTGTAATTATCGGATTTATTTTTATTTAGATGATAGTCACTATTCTCTAATCTTACGAGGGAACCTATTCAACTGTCCAATCGCTTTTGAGTTCGAA